ATATATATATATATATATATTAATATGCGCAAAGATTCGAGGTCCAGACATCAGATCGTGTGCATTATCTCCCGAAGAGGAAGAAGAATAGGGGGCAATTTCGTAGACCGAAGTATATTTTGACTGACGTTTCAAAAGATCACTCGACTTCATCGTCAGAATACCGTGCGTAGTCTTCCGTGGGCCTTGAATGAATCCGTATTGCTGCAAGCCGTGTGTAACATCGGTGATCACTGCACGTGCGTTCGCCTGCCTGATGGCCGCTGGATGGCTCCGACGTTTTGCTGCCGGCCAATATCGTGCTTGCGGCGGCGTCAGCTTGCACGCCGGCCTTCCCCTCGCCAGGCGGTGGATCGATCAGCTCTTGATGCTCGCTGGCAGCTTTATCGGCTCCTCCGTAAAAAAGCATGCCACGCCGGTCATATGATTGTCAATCGTTGCCTCCTTCTTCCCCATGGGTGCTGGCTGCTGGTCCTGCGTGCCCCATTTTAAGTGGATGTAAGCTTAGTACGGAGCCCTCGGTAGACGGAATTAAAATCGATGACTTGGTTTAGTGTGCCCGTCGAGGAACAATTTTCGAGAACTATTCTGGCCATCTTCTCACTGGCTCTGCCGATCATCCTCGCTTTTTCAAAGACGAAGTTGTGATTTAGCTGCTGAACGTGATTAAAGATCAACGACAGCTTGTCTTTTCCTTTGATTGCAACGTGATGCTCGTGCAGACTTATACCTAAGTGTTTGCCCATTTCGCCAACATACCTGGCATCGCAATGTTTGCATGGTATGCTGTAGACCATTGCTGATTGTTCGGTCACTTGCAGCGGATCTTTGGGCTTCATGACTTGTAGTCTGATTGTGGATTCAGGTTTGTGAGCCACTCCGATCCCGAGGGGTTTTAGGAGTCGCGCTATCGCCTCTGCAACGTTTGTCACATAGGGGATTGCGAGCCAAAACTTGGCCTTTCTTCACTCGACCATTTAGAATAAGGCTTCCTGAGGCACTTGCGGATGAAGGACTCCGGATAACCGTTGGCTTTGAAGAGGGCATGCAAACAATTCATCTACTCCTGCTTCCCACTCTCGTCGCTACAATGTGTTTGAACACGTATCTGACACAGAACTTCGAGGGATCTGATCCGAAGTCCAACTGCTCGAGACTCTACAGAACTGCTTCGGCAATGAGTCCGTCATGAATTGCAAAACCAAAATTCTTACATTTTTTTCTTTCGAGTAGGGGGGCTAACTTGAACAGAACTATAATATTCATTATCCTGGAGCCTAAGTTGCCGGCTTTTGAATACACGCCTTATCGGTCGCCTCCGAAGACAGCACTCGATAAAAAAACACCTTTTAAGTAGCATATATATGCGATGGAGTGGATCCAACAAAGCAGTGGGAGACCGGGATGGCGATATCTGACTTGTTAGACATCATCCGGCAGTATACAGTTGGCGAACATTAAACTAGTCATTTAAAAGCAACAGCTCAACAAACTTAAACCTATTTCAAAAAATCCTGTAAAATAATGTAATATTATGAAAAAAACGTGTTCTTTGTTTAAAAAGACAACTGGTTTTGTAGTTTTCATCCATATTTGTGGCCCATTCATAGTTCAACTCTTTAAACTACTCTCATTCACACCTACAGAAAATTACATTCCTTTTCAACCATCCCGTTGGATTGCAACCTTCGGAATTGCGGCTTTTAACGCATTGTGATATCTTCACGCTCATGCGATTTATTAGGTTGGGACACTGAGCTGAAGCGTTGACCTCAGTCTATATTCTCATTTGCAGGTCCCACCCACTGTCAAGCAGGTCGGTCTCTGCAGCGGCGAATAAAATACTAGACAATGAGCATGTGGTAACTACCGCCTTCCGCCATTTTTTTGCTTCGCGGCCCATATGAGTGGACAAAGCATAACCTCATTAATCAAACTGCAAGCAACCAGTACTTAAACTAAATAAACTTGCCACCATTCCTTTGTCACAGGAAGAACCAGAGGTTTTTTTCAGATTTCGTATACAATCAGTCGTTTTTCCTAGATACGCTTATGCCGGATGTCCGGTCTTTTGTTCAAGTGAACATTACAGGTACAATATACATTTAGCTCTCCCTAAGTCTCGGTTACAAGAGAGCTCAAATCATCCACATTCAAAAGGCATTAATTAAACCGCTCGTTATTCCGTCAAAACAGACCTAAAAGTCAAATATTTAGACATAATTACGAGACTACTTATAAAGTATGCTTGGCTATTACCCCAGCTGATCAAGCAAAAGTGGGCGCCTTTGACTGAGACGTGTGTAAATGCGTTGCTCGCAAATTACAGGATTGAATTATATAGAGCCTAACTTATTTGGCGTTTTTGTGGCAATAAGAGCGTTGCCCTGTTTTGCACAGCATCCAAAGTTTTAAAATTCCGGTAAAGTAGCAATTTATAAATACATCTCTGGAACGTATTAAAAGTTATATGTGAAACAGTAGCTTCTGCTCACTTCTTATAATGTCAATATTTGCGATTGAGATACCTCTGGATATTTCTTAAAAGTGAGCTAGAGGATTTTTATTTCGGTGTATTTTTTGTTGATAACAGTTTTTGCTATTACTTTCAGGTAATTTTTATCATGAATTAGTCTTGTATGGTGTACTCAAGTAGTGCGGTTTGTTTGAAAACGTCCTGGCGGCTTTGGGCGTTCTTCCTCTCAAGGCATCAGAGCTATTTTAATACAGACGTGTTTGTGTTTGTATTTAGAAAAGGAAACATCTAAATACTCTTGTAAAATTATATTGTCTGCATTATAATTTGGGTACAGAGTCGCAAGGCTCAGAAATCCATTTTCACTAAATCATAGCAGACGTAGGCCATCAAAATGTGTTTTCCTGCCTAACAAGAAGCGGCCTTCGTTCAAGTTCGAACATATTTCGCGCAAAACTACTGACTTTCTTTCATCCATCGGTTTAAATGATGTTCATTTTTATTTAAACTTGGATTTAAGTTTTATGACTACATGGTTTACCATTTCCAAAAATGTTGATTGGTACGTTGAATTCCCAATAAATTTCAAAATGGAAAAGCACAGGGACGCATGTTCCAGCCGCTAAGTACGAGAACCAATAAGCTAACGACTGATAACTTAGTATTGCGTGGTTACAGTACAACGCTTTTTATTGAAATTTTCAACAAGTTTCTTCCTAAACTGTAGAATTTAAGGTTACGTTTAGTTCACTATTTGTAAGAATCCGTAAAACTGGGTTCATTGGACAGCAGCTCTATCTCCACCAATTTGAGATTTAAGTTGGTAGTCAAGCTAGGTTCTTCGACGCTTGGGAAATTCCCTTGAGACGAGGCCCACCAAATATTTAAACAACGTTAGGTTCGGAAAAACATAACTAGCATTCAAGAAAAATTGTGAGTTTTAAGAGCTCTTTAAAATTTTTCTTCATTATAGACTATTTTGTCAGTTTTGAAAACGGCATAACTTTGCGTACTAAAAATATCAATCATTTCCTTCCATCATGAAGTGGAAAGCATTGAACGCAACTGTTGGGTTAGAAATGTCAGACGGTTTCAAAGATTTTGATATATTCATAGTGCGTATACAAACATGCTTCTTTCGTTGACGCGGAATAGTTCGCTTAATGGGGGCCCACGATCGGTTATGCGGTAAAAGAATACATAGGGAAGAGGGAGGCTGGCCAATAACCGGAAATGCTTTTTTACATTTCTTAGCAAACAAATGCAGTAATCCATCACTGAAAATCAAAGTAGCAAAACACGGGTTGGCAGTTATCGCAGATGAAGTCGAGCAAACGCCAGTGACCACGCAGCCATCTGCATGTCGGTAACAGATAGAGGCAGCACTTAACTTCTTTCTCTTGTAACTTACTGTACTAAAAGCCTACGTATTAGCTAAAAGGCCCAGACAGGGGTTTCGCCGGTATTCTGCCAAAACACGCGGTGAAATACGTGTCTGAGTCTTTTAGCTAGTATCTAGGCTGTTACTATAGTAAGCCAAAGCATCAATACATACTATTAAAGTCTGCCTGTTGGCAGCAAGTGCATATTTCGCAGTGGTTGGTAGGTTTCAGCCCAAATAAACACTAAAACATTCGATCTACGCCTATAGTCCTTAAATATACTGATGTATACCGCGAACAGAAATAAATTTCTCAGGAGATTAAAAAATGAACTAAGTAATTTCTCTTCGAATGCTCAGGCCTGAAAAACTATCAGTTAGTTTTGATAGTGTTTGTTAATTATGCGCCAAGGTGCGAAGTTCACACCAAAATCCCGTTTTAAACTACATGCAGCAACATTTGGTAATTCATCGCAGTTTTTGTTGGTGTATGCTTAATCTCAGCCTGTGTTCAGTCTGACCTCTGCAACTGCGTACACGTTGCAGGTGTCCGCTAAGATCGAACACACCAGTTACCACTGATATTAACCTGTAGTGAGTTTTTTTGAGAATCGTCTGTGCATGGCAGCTAGGGGACGGTATGCGATTCTATCATCCAGTTCCGCAGCCATGAGCACGGAAAACTTTGAAACACCCTGTATGAATTACAGATCCTGCCATATCGTTGGTGCTGTTTCCGTTTGGGTCTTCCAGGGAACATCTAAACAGTTATCGGCTTACTGACATCCCACGCTTCCAACTCCACATTAATCGCCGCCGAGATATTAGTTCTCAAATGCTATTAAATTCTGTTCAGTACATAGACTAGACGCGTGGGTGCAATGTTTCCACACAGATTCGGTTGGAAGGCATCGGATTCTTGCTACAACAATTTAGCAACTGCTTTGTATTTGTTAGAAAACTGTAAACTGTTGTGTATTTTCAGCCTTTTGGATCGCGTTCGACGAGGATATCATGGAAAAGCTGATGCATCTTCTTTTCTTTTCCCCTCGCGAATTGTGGCGACATGTGCTTATAGAATCAAAGAAGCTAGTTCCGGGAGTAGTCGCGCATGAGACAGCATTGCAGAAACATGAGCCTCATGAGCCAGGTGTTTTGGATTTTTACTAAAGTCCACCATTTGGGAGAAATTTAGGTAAGGACAGTGGATAAGTCAAATTTTGCAGTGTATCTTGCACGTCTTTATGAGCCCTTTGCTTACTTTTCAAATCTAGCAGCTCACGAAGGCATCGAGGACAGTTGCATGTGTGGCGCTAAGTATCTGACGGAAGGCATTCAGCCACAGATTAAATTTTCAGGAGGCCGACGCTAGGGGCGAGCTGCTAGAGTCATCTTTATATTGCTGTCAATCAATTAGAAATTTAATGCTTTGGACGTTGTGTATTCAGAGACTTTGCCTATATACGAGGAGGGCGAAAGGATGACTACCGCTTCTGGTGAGCAAAATTGCCAGGAGTCCACAGTGGTGACGAAACCCCGGCAGCGAGTTACT